GGGAGGGGGTTACACGGGGTGGGGGTGGGGGTTACAAGCAACGGTAACAGGTGCGATGAAATGCGCTCGAATCGAGTCCTCGGTGCCATTATCGGTCCCGCGATTGATTCCGGCGTTGTAATTGCGCGATCAACGCCGTCGCGGCCATTGTTTCACGGCGGCGGATGGTTATCGGCGACGCGATCACGCGTCGCGTCGTTGTCGGGGATTATCTTGAAACGCTTTACCTTGCACACAGGGGGGATGGGGGGGGGGGAGACACGGGAAAATCGTGCGAGGGGACGCCGGGAGAGGCGAGATTCACTTTAAACGCCGGTTCTATATGTAGACACTTCGACTCGGAGAGAGGAGACTGCGGATCGCGCATTTGCACGCGAGCAATGCGTTTCCCGGGGATCGATGGTGGCCGGATTAAACAGGGCAAATGGAAGTCTAATGTAACGGAGACGTCGGATCTCCGACCGTTTCCGTCGTCCGGAGCCTCCGCTCGGGAATAATATCTGCCCTCGAAACGTCTCGGCGCGCCGCGCCGCGTCGAATCGGCGCGTCGCCTGCCCCGTTCAAAGTGTCGAAAGTGCTTTCCGACGCAGTCTATTAATGGGGCCTCTGGCAGGCGTTTAATATCCTTCGTATAAAATTAGTCGACGCGAATGACTCGACTCGATCAAGGACAATTAAGAGGAAAGCGCTCGCTTTTGAACGGCGCGCGAGGGCTTCGGACGATCGCCGATCGAGAAGTGCACTTCTCTCGGTGCAGCGAGGCCGTCGAAGGCAGATCGTCGACCCTTTGCGCTCGCATGAAATCGTCGTTTCCCAATAGAATTGTTCGCATTAACGGAATTCGCAGATCGTTCGGAACGTGAACGTTGCATCGGCAAACAAGCTCCATATCGCGAGAAAATCGAAATAACCGCGGAAAATCGAAATCGAACGGAGCGCAAAGGGTTTCGGTTGGTATGCTCCGAGGGTAATAAACTGGATCGAAAGCGACGCCCCGCCGCGAGGAGGGCTCGCGTTTCGCCGAGGGGATAATTAAAGGCTCGCTTTCGGGCGAACAGCTTCGGATCGTTTTTCGTTGAAAATACAGGCCCCGGGATCGTCGTCGAGCCGAGCTGAGAGGGTCGTAAAACGGCGCTCGAACGGTAGAATCGAAAGTAAATTTGTCGACGGCTATTGGCAGCGTGCAGCGGAGCGG